CCCCAAAACCCCAAAACCCCAAAACCCCAAAACCCCAGAGAAAATAATATTTATTGAAGCGAAATATGAACTTGCTGTATTACCCCAATGATATCGTCAAGAAGGCACTGGAAAGTTACCAAGTTGATAATTACGATAGTGATGATGACCTTTATGATGAGGAAGAAGACCAGCCGTCCAACCTACCTGTGTATATCAATTCTCACTCCATCTCACGGCTGCATAAAAACTTAAGGTTTTATGTAGTCATTGATGGACTACCCAACCAAAGAATACCGATAAGTCTCGATGGAGAGGAAGATATGAAAACTTTTCAGAGCCAAGTCTCTGAAATGCTCCAATTCAAGCTTGACTTCCTCAATGGGATTACTATTACTTCCCTCGACACTCATGAGGAGCTTCCTGAAGAGGGTCCAATAAAGGATGCTATAGCTGAAAATGATATTCTGCACTGATCTATGCAGACAAAGGACATATGGGTGAAATGTATTATTATCATGGCTATTACCAATCCCCAGGGGGATAAGCACACCCAGACTAAGCGGTAGTTCCTCTTATAACCTATAGAGTTCGAACTGAGATGAGCATAAAGCTGAATCTGAAGCATTATTTAGAAGAATTTAAGGATATTATCCAAAAACTGACTTATTGCGTTTGGAATAAATTCTGATACGAAGAGTTTCACAAGAACAACTTCTATGTCCTGACGGACATAGATTATGAGCTTAGTCAGGAAGGGCTGGATTTTCTATGGAAACGTCAGCAAATGCGGATAGAAAAGAAATTTGACGCCTTTCCTTCCTCTATAGGCTCAGAAGAAGGGAATGTTGCTCAATCTATTAAGAAAGCCAGACGGAAGAAGAAAAAGAAAGATGCAAGAAGTATCTCCGTTGGTGATGACCAAGATCCATCACAAAAGTTGAAGCGTAATATTATTTACCAGTTCTATAACAGCGAAGGCGTCGTTGGAGACTTCTTTGGGTTTCCTCTTGAGACAGAATATCTTCAGGAGCCTCCTAATACCAAGAAGAAGAAAGATAAAAAAGGGAAGGAAATGGCCCCTCCTCCAAGCTTTGAGGAGAAGAATGCCCTTGTCAATATGTTCTTAGTCAAATGCACGTTTGAGCCGATTGAAGAAGTCTTCCAAGATTTCCTTAATATCGGTAAGACTCAGCATAAAATGTCTTAGGGATCAACCAGAAATAAGAAGTGTACCACATACTTAGGGTATTTGATTAAGCGTTCTCCTGATATATTGGATTCTGTCAAGAGGAGCATGGGCCATCATTTGCCTAAAAACAGCAAATTTAGTACAATTTTGAGCCTAAGATTTAGAATACTGCAAAGATGTCCATGTTGACATGGAATTTACGCATGGCGATAAGGAAGAAGAGCTGAAATTATCCAGTAAGTTCTACTGCTAATTTCAGAATCGTACAGTAAACTACAAAAGGATTTCCAGGAGCATGCTGATAATCAGGACAGGACTCTGGGTACGACCCTTTATCATCTCTTTAGACCTACATTTCAGGATGTTTGGGAATATCTTAGTCAAGTATGAGAAACATAAAGAAAGTATCCTGAAGAAAAACGTATATTTCAGACATATTTTTAGACAAAGCATTATGACTATGAACATGAATTGATTGAAAAATTACAGAACCAGAAAGAGGTTCATAAAGACTACATGCTCAAAGACACAATTAGTAAGGCCCTTTTATGACAATCTAGTTGAGGAAGACAAGAGACCCTCTGACTCACATGAAGAGAGATTCCAAAGACTCAATGAAATCATGAAAATGAAGGATAGTGATTCTGAGAGTATAGATGGGCATGATGAAGACGAACCTACAATTGAATTTTACCCAGGAGAGCATGAATTTAAAAAGTCTATTATGGATCACCAGAAAAGAGATCTCGATTCCTTATATATCTCATCCTCTCATAGCAGTTTTGTTGGGTCTCAAGGGAGTCACGAATTCCGAAATTCCCTTTTGTTAAACTCTAAGGTACCTCTTTCTGGTGCTCCAACAATGCTGTATCGGGATAATGACGATATTGACAATCTGTCAGGTACTCCAATCCATTTCATATTCTAGCAACCTTTGATGAAATCAGAACTCAGAGAAATTCTCTCTGAATGGGATATCTAAGAAAGGAAAATGAAAGCGAAGTCAAAATGAAGCGGTAAATTAACAGTATTAAATATTTAGGCTGATCCACACTCTTGCTGAGCGAGCTATTACATGATGCTACCCAGGAAGTATTTCCTCAGATTATCCCCTCTCAATCCAATTCAGAAGTAACGGTAGTCAGATGTTGGTGGATCATACCAGTTGAGAACTAGTGGTAGATTTCCTAAACTTGATTGCAAAGAAGACTCCGTCATTAGAAATCCACCAGATGAACTTTGCTCATCTCCCTGAGATCAAGGATTTTAAGTACAAAGTATTCCGAGAGCAGGGAGCTCCCGATCAGTCATAGTGCAAACCTGACGAAGAAGTGCCATTTTCACAAAAAGATAGATTTATGATATTTTCGATAAATATTGCATTTCAAGGGGTTTTGGGGTTTTGGGGTTTTGGGGTTTTGGGGTTTTGGGG